GGAGCACCTGCCCAGGTGTGGAGCGGCTGCCTAGGTGTGGAGCGGCAGCCCAGGTGTGGAGCGGCTGTCCAGGTGTGGAGCGGCTGTCCAGGTGTGGAGCGGCTACTCAGGTGTGGAGCGGCTATCCAGGTGTGGAGCTCCTGCCCAGATGCGGAGCTCCTGCCCAGATGTGGAGCGCCTGCCCAGGTGTGGAGCTCCTGCCCAGGTGTGGAGCGGCTGCCCAGGTGTGGAGTGGCTGCCCAGGTGTGGAGCTCCTGCCCCGGTGTGGAGTGGCTGCCCAGGTGTGGTGCTCCTGCCCAGGTGTGGAGCTCCTGCCCAGGTGTGGAGCTCCTGCCCAGGTGTGGAGCGCCTGCCCAGGTGTGGAGCGGCTGCCCAGGTGCGGAGTGGCTGCCCAGGTGCGGAGTGCCTGGCTGTGAAATGTCTCTGCTCAGGGCTAAACGGCATCACTGGGTGTTCCTGCTGAGCTTGGGTCCTGGATGTGCTGGACACTCGTCCTTCATCAGACAGAAACTTTGCAAACATTTTCTCTCTAGCCGTGGTTTGTGCTTTCATCCTCTTAACGGGCTCTTGCGCAGAACAAAAGATTTAAATTTTGCCGAGACCCCACACCCCGGCATTTCCGTTAATGCACTGTGCTTGGGACACCAGGTGCGGCAGCTCCTCCCAGCCCTGCTCCTCAGGTGTCTCTTTCGAGGTGTCCCTTTCTCGGAAGTTAGAGTTTTTGAGTTTCTGTTCGGCCACGAGACTCCTGCCGCTGCCCGAGCACCATTGCTCAGAGGCCGCTGCCCGCCCTGGGAGGTGACGGTCTGCTCTGAGCCCCGCTGGCCGCCACGCCTGTCCCTCCACCGAGCCCTGCCTGGTCGCGTGGCCGTGTGGCGTCTCGGGGCCGTGTAGACAGGCCGTCTTACTCAGTTCTTTCTCAAAATGACTTCCGTTCTTCCGGCGCCCTGCCTTCCCGTAGAAAGTCTGGAATGATCCCATCTGCAGGGGCTTCTGCGGCAGAGAGCCGGGCCCACAGCTCCGCCTGGACACTGTCCCGAGAGGGAGGGGGGACGCACGGGTGTTGGGCTCGGCCTTCCTGGTACAGCGAGTGCAGCGGGAACCCCCTCAGCCAGGGGAATCAGGAGGCGGGAGCTGTGCTGTCAGGGAGCCCTCGGGACGGGCTTGTTCACCACGCTGTGGAAAGCACCCGGCCGGGGCGGGACTCGGCGCCACGGATGGGGCCAGGTGGGTGGCGAGCAGGCCGGGAGCTGGAAGCAGGAGCGAGCTCCAGGGGTCCTGTCCCCTCTCCCTCAGTCATAAACACGTGCAGGACGGGCCAGCGGCGGCGGGGAGCCCATCCTGCCTCGCCCGGACGGCGGGGGAGAAGCAGCAGACGGGGGATGCGTGAATGGAGCGCTGGGACAACGGTGCCCGGGAGGTCTGTGTGTGCACCTGGGTGTGTGTGTCTGTGTGTCTGTGTCTGTCTGTGTGCGTGTCTGTGCATCTGTGTCTCTATCTGTGCATGTGTGTGTGGTACTCGTGTCTGTGGGGCACGCAGAACACGCCTACAGTCACGCGTCTTGATCGCTGAGCCTCCCAGCAGCCTGGGAGAAAAGGGGCGCGGGGGCTGGCAGGGCTCTCGTCTGATGTTTGCTCACCTGGAGAGCAGGTTTTTCTTGGCAATCTAGGAGGAATTTTCTCATGTGACTTGTTATTTTCAGTTGCGGTTTTGAAAAAAACACACAATATAGTTTCCAAATAGCATTTGACCTTAGTGGCCGCTGAGGACGCAGCAGCAGCTGGGAGGGGGGCCCCGGCTGGGGTGGTTCCCGCGTTTGGAGTGATTTAGACAGAGGACTCACCTGTAGGCGGAGGTAACTTGGAGCAAGGGCGAAACTTTCCTCAAAAGAGAAATGTGAGGCGCGGGGCAGGGCGAGGGGCCGACCGGCCGGGCCGAGAGCGACTCCGCTCACACGAGAGTCCCAGCCCATCTGCAGGAGCCGCTGGGGCTGCGGGCGGGCGGGGCGGCAGGTGGGGGCCCAGGGGCCGGGCTTCCTCGAGAGGAGGAAGTGTTTGGAGTTGCGGGAGGTGAGGGCGCCCACCTTCCTGAGTCCAGGCAGCAGGAAGAGCCCGAGGCAGGTGGCGTCCCGGCCGGACGGGCGCAGAGCCAGGACGCAGCAGCCGCACGGCCCCCCAGTCCTCCTGTGCGGCCACCCTGCGGCTGGGCCGTGTCTGAACCAGACACAGGTGGCCCCTGGCGGAGGACCTCGGGCCCGGGGTCGTCGGGTTAATGTCTGACTTCTCGCTCCACGCCCGGACGCCTGGCTTCCCTGCAGCTCGTGCATGCGCCCCGGCTGGGGCTGCTCCGCTCAGGTGCGGCCTCACCTGCAAACCTGTTCCTTCCGGCAGGTTCCAGGTCCCCGGTCCCACCAGCCGCGGGCGCCCCGAAGAAGGGGCGTTGGGTCACGATGGGTATCTTTTCAAACGCAGATCTCGTAAATTCTCACGAGGTGTTCTGCCTCGGTGCTCGAGGAACAGGGCGGGGGCTTGAGCTGGGACGGGCACGTCTGGGCTGCCGTCCCGGGTGGGAGGCAGCGGGCCGCTGGCTTCTCGGCTGCGTTTGTCCGGCGCTCCTCACACATTTACGTGACTCCCAGGTCGGCTGGGAAGACGCTTGCAGCTCAGGGGAGAGGACAGGGCGGCCGCCCGCGCACGGTGGGGGTGCCTCTGCTGGCCCCCGATCTGCGCCCTGGCCTGCAGCGTGGCGTCCACCCATATGGGTCCACGTGGGTTCTCGCCCAGCGGGCTTCACACCCTGAAGCAGATGTCCAGCGCCGGGCAGTGGAAGTCCCCCGAGGCTGAGCTGGTGCGGGGCGTGGGGGTGGCAGCTGCTGGGCGGGGGCTGACTTCCAGAGACTCTCCCGGAGGCTTGAGCCTGGCCGGGCGGGGCCCAGGGCTCTGAGGCCCTGCAGCTGAGGGCACCGTCCACCAGGCAGGGTGGCGTGAGGGGGACGGGGCTTCCCAAGACCCCGCGGCGCGGGGCTGCCCCTGGCCTGCCGTCTTCATTTCAGGCACCAGCCCTGGGACCTCACTGGAGCTCGCCCCTGTCCCCGCCCCAGATTTGGCTGCACTGGAGGGTTGGGCTTTAGCGTATGAAATTGGGGTCACATGAGGCCCCCTCCCTAGAGCCCGCGTTTGCGGGTTGTCCCTTCCTGAACTGGATGCAGGTTCCTGGCCCCTATGAAGCCCAGGGCTGCCCGAGGGCCAGCACAGGCAAACCTGCCCCCTTTCCTTTCCCAGGGTAGTCAGAGGAGCCGCGGCCAGCCCGGCCCCAGCCTCGCAGGCTCTCCCCACTGGCCGTGACCGTGGCCTTGAGAGGAGGGCGTGTCCCTTGGCCCCCGTCTCGCCCAGCTCAGCCCTCCGTCTCCGAGCGGGGCTCGTCTGCCCGGCACGGGCCGGGCTGTCCCGGGAGGTGTTGTGTGGACCCCTTAGCAGCCAGGCATGGAGTCTTGGCTGCTTCCTCGAAGCAGGCGCCGGGGGCAGAGGTTTCCAGGACGGGGTCCCACAGCTCCGTGCCGAGGCTGGTGCTCCCAGAGGAGGAGCCGGTCTGCGTGCTCTCTTTGCCCTGCGGTCCTCTCTGGGGCCTCCCCGGCCCTCCAAGGCCCAGGCCGCTTGGTCCTTGCCGGGCTCACTTCTGTTTAAGCCCCGGACGAACGCGTGGGCCCTTCGTGCGAGCGCGTCCCGGCACCCGGAGCCGGTCTGACGACTGCGCGGAGGCAGATGGGGCGGGCCCTCTGCTGCCTGGCCTCCCCCGGCGGTGGTGGTCACGCTCCCGGTGCCTGCCTCCCACGGTCTCCCTGGCACCTTGCCCGGGCCCCTCTTGAGGTCAAGACCAGTTCTCAGGCTTCAGGCCTCGTGCTCCCGGACCGTCGCGGCTGAGGGGGCCCCCCGTCCCCGTGTGTCCTGCGCGGGGCCTCTGTGCTGACGGCCACGCAGGTGGCAAGGACAGTGTCGTGTGGGGGCACCCGGGGCCTGAGGGTGGGCCAGGCACCCTCCTCGCCGTCTGGGCTCCCTCCGGGGTGTGGAGCTGTGCTGGGTTTCCTGGCATGACCCCCCACGCCACCTTCTGCTGGAGGGATGCTTGGGCTGTGCCCCCGGTTCAGACCTGCGTGTCCACGGCCACCCTCATGGGTCCAGGGCTGTCGGATGTGGCCTGCGAAGTCATCGCAAACACCCTGAGTTCAGTGTGGACCCCTTCCAAGCTCCAGCCTGAGCTCGGCCCTTCCACAAAGCCCCCGGCTGCTGTGGGCATCAGCCTGGGCACTGCACTGGCTCAGCACTGCTCGGCCTCACCCAGGCCCACACGCTCCCCAAGTCTTGGGTCTGCTCCTCTGGGGGCCTGCTCCTCCGGGGGCTCCTCTTGGGCCTGCTCCTCTGGGGGCTCCTCTTGGGCCTGCTCCTCTGGGGGTTCTGGACGCAGCATGCTGGGTCCCGGACGTTGGGGGGGCAGCAGTGAATAAGCAGAAGCCCAGAGGGCATGGAAACCAGGCGGCGAGAGGGATGGAGGGACAGGCTGCGGGCGCCAGGTGGGCTCCAGGAGGACCTGAAACTGTGGACCTGAAACCATAGGCTGCGGGCGTCACTGGGGAAGCGGGTGGGTGCCCCAGGAGGCTTCCCGCATGTGCTGGGAGCGAGCGGGCGCTGGTGGGGGGGCGGGTGCTGGGTGGTCTGAGACGCGAGGGAGGCCCGGCAGGGGCGGGCCTGGGCTGGGCCGGGCTCTGTGGGCCCCGCTGGCTGCTGGGTTGGCCTCGTCCTGCGCTCACTCTCTGTTTGCTCCGGGTCTCCCTGGGGGTCATCTGCGTGCCTCCGGCGCCTTCATCCACCAGGAGACCCCAGGGTCTCTGCGGGGCCCTCCCCCCAGCTCCCCTAGGAGGGCGGCCTGTGGCTCATGAGGGTGTGGGGCCCTCTTCAGCCTCCGCCTCATTGCATCACAAACGCCCCCCCAGGACAGCCCTGCTGCCTGGAGTGACCCCGCCTCTGCTCCTGCCCGGCCTTGACATTTCCAGAGGTGGGTTTTTTTTTGTTTGTTTTTTTTTTTGGGGGACCCTCTCCGGTGGCCGGGGATCGAACTGGTGCTGCAGAGGCTGCAGGTAGCCTCGCACCCCAGCGCTCAACAGCTGCGCCACCAGGGGAGGAGTTTTTGTAGAAGCCTGTGGCCCGTGGTGGCCCGTGGTGGCCCGTGCTCCTCGGCTCCCGCACCCCGGTTCACACCAGCTTCTCCCCTGGCCTTTCTGGACCTGCCCTCGCAGAGGGGCCCAGCGGGGCGATGCCCACTGCAGAGTCCTGGCTGTGTCCTTCTCCCGGCTCTTAGGAGCCGAGGTCCGAGGCCACCGTCGGCACCTGACCCGCCCTTCACCGGGGAGCTTTCACGGCCCTTGATGCAGACTTCACGCCAGCTGCCCCGGACTCCTGGGGACCCCGAGTCCCCGGCCTCAGGCGGCTCTGACTCAGGGCCCTGCTGCCCCCCGCCGGGGCCATCTCTTTCTGAGCCTGGCCCAGCCCTTCTGCTCTCACACGTTCCCCGTCGCGGCTGTGTGCAGGGAGGGCGGTTCTGCGCTCGGGCAGCTCTGGACAGGAGCCGGCACTGCTTCTCCCGGGGAGCCAGAGGCAGCCTGTCCTCAGCCCGCACAGTTCAGCTGCCCCGTCCTCGCGGGGCCATGGCCAGCGTGAGCGGTCACCCCGTCCTGGTCGCAGCACTGCCCTGCTGGGCCTGGCTTGGCCGGGGGAGGGGCTGAGCTGTCCATCCTCGGTGTCTCTGCGGCCGCAGGAGGGCTGAGGCCACCACTCCTGCTGAGGGTGCCAGCCTGAACCTGAGCACCAGCTCGGCTCCCCGCACCCTTGCCTCCCGGCACCCCCACCCTCCCTGCGCCCGCTTCCTCTCCTGCACCTGACGGCTCCCTGCTGTTGCTCTGCCCTCCCAGGCATAGGCAGCCATGCCGCGCAGCCCCACGTCCAGCGAGGAGGAGATGGCCCAGAGCTTCTCCGACTACTCCGGGGGCTCTGAGTCGGACAGCTCCAAGGAGGAGACCATCTACGACACCATCCGGGCCACCTCACACAAGCCGGGCGGCGCCAGGGCGGAGGAGGCCCAGGGCAACACACTGGTGATCCGCATTCTCATCCAGGACCTGCAGCAGACGGTGAGCCACCCCGCCCCGCTGCGCTGGGAGCCGAGGCACCCCAGGGCGCCAGCCAGCTCCAAACCCTCCTATGCCCCTCCTCCACCCGCACATCCCCCCGCCAGGCCAGCTGCACCCCTGCCTGCTGCCCTCATGCCACTGTGCTGCTAAGCCTCCAGCCACTGAGTGCCTACTATGTGCCAGGCCCTACTGTGTGCCAGGCCCTTCTACCTGCCAGGCGGCGAGTGCACAGTGAGATTTGAGCCAGTGGGCTCCAGCCAGGGGGGCTCTGCCGCCCCCACCCTGTGCTCTGCGTGATTTTCACCCCAGGCCCCACACTCAGCCTCAGTTCCTGCATGGGTCAGACCGGGCCCGGCTGAGTTGCCCCCACTCTGCCTGCCATTATCTCTTCTCAATTCATTGCTTTGAAGAGGACCTCTCAGCCCACTGCAGACCCTCTGCGGGCTGTGGGCTGCCTGAAAGTGTGGCCCTCGAAAGGAAAAAGCCAGCTGACCCACGGGGACAGTCACGGGCACCTCTCACCCCAGCGGGGCCCGGGGACCAGCACCTCTCAGTTCACTGTCACTGGGACAAGACTGGGGGCCGGGAACTGGCCCTTGACAGGTCACCAGGACACACCCTCTGCCCTTGTCTCCCCATGGCAAACAGGGCTGCTGAGACGCTTGTGCCCTTTGGAAAATGCTGTTCTGATCGGGAAACCGAATCCACAGCCTAAACATGTCGTAGATGGCCTGACCCCTGGATTGTCGTGTCCTCAGCCCGGGGTCCCCGCACGCCCCCAGCGTGGCCGGTGGGGCTGTGTCCACGGCAGAAAGCCTGGAGCCTCTGGCCAGCGGCCTCCGGGGGTTGACCCAGTTTCGGCGGGTTGCCCTGGGTGACGGCTCTTTGTGAGAAGCGTGAGCGGCTGCTGGGGCCTCGCCGCCCGACGCTCCTGCCCCATGTGCGGGTCCTTTGTGGCAGCCGCAGGGACGCGCAGGACATGCCCTCTGCGGCACACTGAACCGTGAAGGGTGCGCTAGGAACCCGCGTCTGTCTCCAGATCCCCTTGTTCTGCCCAGTGCTGCTCAGGGCGTCCTTGGAGCCGGGCGCTGAGTCTCATGTCTGTGTCCAGCTCTCGGCCGGGGCATGAGGTACAGGGACCCCTGGCCCCAGGCCGGGTGCTGAGAACGAACCCCCCCTCAGCCCGTCCTCCCGCCCCTCCTGGGCGTGGGGTGGACCAGGACATGCTGCACCCAGCCTGCGAGGCTGCCACCCCCTCCCCAGCCCCCGACAGCCCCGTGCGTGCCCCAGCCACCCGCCGTCCACCATCCGCTCAAGCTCTGTCTAGACACCAGGACATGTGGAGCCACCCCGTCCTCTGCATTTTCGGGGTGCCGGGCTGGGGACGCGAGCCGTGCTTCTCCCTGGAATTCCCCCTCTGGCTGGTTTTGAGTCAGAGCAGCCCTGTCCACCTCCGCCCTGGCAGGTGGCCACCCTGCCCCAGTGGGTGCCTGGCCCAGCCAGGCTCTACATCCGTGTGGGTCCCGGGGGTTAGTCTCCCAGTTCAACTCACCAGTACCTGGTGGCAGGAGCTGTGGGGGCGGCCAAGGGGCTCGGGCGTCCCATGGAAGCTGGCACCTCCTGGGCTCTAGGCAGCATGTCCGCGTGGTTGGGTCCAGAGTCCAGCAGGAATGGGTGTGCCTGGGGCACTGCCCTGGTCACAGGGACAGAGCTGGCCTTGCCTAGCAATCCCAGGCACCCTCACTCCGCCAGGGGTGGGGCAGGAGAAGCAGCGGAAGGTCCCTAAGGTGTCACTGGAAGGCACCTGGGAACTCAGCCTGTGACCCTGGAGAGGGACGCAGGGCTGGGTCAGGTCCCCGTGGGGACAGGCTGCCTGTTGAACAAAACTCTTGAGAGCCCAGAGTTTCCACCTGGCCCAGGGACCCAGGACTGGGAGGGGGCCCCGGGCTCCTGCCTCCCTGACAGCTGCTCCCCGTGGACATCAGGCCTTGCTGGTTTCCAAAGGCAGTTTATGGAGCACACTGGGCGCCTCTGCTGCACCTGCGCACAGTAGGACAGGACTTGAACTCACCCAAACCAGCAGCTGTGGTCAGTGGCCCTTGCTTTCCCTGGACCTTGGTGGGGTCCAGGGGCCTGGGAGCCCACATGGGGGACATTCCCATTCTCGGGGTGCTGCGATGTTCAGGCAGAGTGTTCCTGGTTGGTTGTGGGCGCCATTGACTCACTAAAAAATATTAGCTCTGGGGGCAGCTGATATAAGTTTTGAATCAAACGGTTTTTCGTAACTGTCGCCCTCGGTGGAGGCTGGAGTGGAGGCCGCGGGGGGAGGCTGGAGTAGAGGCCGCGGGGTGGGGGGCGGCGAGGCGTGGGGAGGAGGCATCACAGACCAGAAGCTGGAGGCGTGGTGAGCAGAGCTGCTGGAAAGCTGCCGGCGTGGGGGAGCTGGGGCCGGTGCAAGGCTCCCGCCCTCTCCGGTGGACCCAGTCAGCCCCAGGACAGGAACGACCTCCGGTGCCAGCCGCAGCACCTCCTTGGTCCCCCAAAGAAGGTGCCTCCCCGGGGGACGCCGTGTCAGGGCATCTCCCTGGCCAGGGGCAGCCCCTCCCGCCCGGGCTGCTGGGGCTCCCTCTGCCGCCTCCCCCCTTTGCCAGGCTGCCTCCCCCACCTGCCCGCCCGGGGCGCCGTGGGCAGCCCTCTCAGCCCTGGCCTCCGGGCGCAGCCCTCCTGCCCGCTGGCGTCTGCCCGAGCCGCCTCCCCTTCCTTTATGATAAGCTTGTGTTTTGCACGTGGCTGGACGTCTCTGCCTCGTGGGGAAGCTGGCCGGGCCGGGAGAGGGGCCATCTGGCGAAACTCCTTCCAGGGGTGACCCAGGCCCCCGCCCTCTGAACCCGGCACCTCTCCAAGCCGACAGCACCCCGCCCTCGTCCTGTGGGAGGGTCGCGGCGGCCGGGGGGCCCGGTGCCCCGCTGACCACAGCGCTGCACCCCCCGCAGAAGTGCCTGCGCTTCGACCCGGACGCCACGGTGTGGACGGCCAAGCAGCGCGTGCTCTGCTCCCTGAACCAGAGCCTGAAGGACGTGCTCAACTACGGGCTGTTCCAGCCGGCCAGCGGCGGGCGCGACGGCAAGTTCCTGGACGAGGAGCGGCTCCTGCGCGAGTACCCGCAGCCGCCCGCGGGCAAGGGCGTGCCCTCGCTGGAGGTAGGCCCCGCCGCCCTGTGCCTGCAGGCCCTGCCAGGCTCTCCGCCGCCCCGCAGAGCGGGCATGTCTGTCCCTGCACTTCGAGTCAGGCCCTGCTCTGCCTGGGGGCTCCTGCTTGTGCTTGGGGTGGCCAGCGGCTGGCCAGCTGGCCGGGGGGGCCCCCTGCTTTCTGTTCTCTCTGGGGCCTGGTGGGTGGCACAGCCGTTGGACCTCTGGAGTGGGAGATACAGGCATGGGCAGCCTCAGGCATGTCCCTGGGGAGCGGGTTCCGCCCTGCATGCTGCCCCAGATGTCCATGCCAGGCTCCCACACCTGCCGAGCCGCTGCGGTGGCCGTGATGGGGCCGTTTCTCGGCACACTGCCGCGAGTGGTGGTGGCTGTAGTGGGCCGGAGGGGGGCCCCGTGGGTCCTACCACCTCTGGATGCTGGAGGCCTCACAGCGGGCAGAGGCCTCCCCTTCTGCCCGTGCCAGCCCTGGTGGGCACTGTGAGGCTGGGCCGACCAGATCCCACAGAGGGGCTCCTGCGGGAGGGGCAGGGTCGGGGGGACGGCAGGGAGCAGCGGCCACCTCGTGGCAGTGGGGGCTTGGGCTGTGCCAACCTGAGCGCTCATTGGTGCCAGCGAGAGGCCCCTGGTGGGGGTTCTGGGCATGGCCGGCATGTCCAGGATGGTCCTTTCTGGCCTCGTGAAGAGCTGGGGCCCGCTGAGGGTGGCCATCAAGCGCCCTGCTGGCCCCTCTTAGCCAGGGCCTTGCTGTGGCCTGGCTGGGGAGGGCTTGTGTCCTGAGCTCCCTCCCCGCAGCCACACCAGGCCACTGGCGGCCGCAGAGAAGCCCCCTGCTGCCCACCTCCCTGGGTGGAGGGGCCCTGGCCCTAGCAGAGCCTCGTGTCTGGAGGCAGCCGCTGGTGCACACGCCCTCGGCCTTTCTGGGTTCAGCCGGGTGACGGGCGGGGGGCACACCTCCGGGGCCGCGTGGCTGCTGAACGCTGGGCTGGGGGGCGGGGAGGGCCCGGGTGCGGGAAGGGCCTGGCGCGAGGTGTGGCAGCTTCCTGGGCCGACACAGGGCGGTGTCCGGCAGGTCAGGAGGCAGCTGCTGGCCCCGCTCGGCGGGGGAGGGGCGGCTCCGGGGCCTTCTGATGTCAGCACTTAAAAAATCAGGTTTCGGTCCCTGCAGCCAAGGAGTTTCGCCTGTTGTCAGAGACTCTTTTGTTTGGCCTGGAGGGGACCGGAGAGACGGGGCCTCAGTGGGAATGCGGTCGGGATTAGCTCTGTTTCGGGGTAGCTCATGCCAGGCGTCCCCTCCCCGGCGTGTTAAGCCGAGTGGACGGAACAGGTCTGCCCAGGGGCTCTGCCAGCCGGGTCACGGCTGGACCCGGGCTCCCCGAGGCCACTGTTTTCTCCACGCGACACACAAGGAACCAGTCGCCAGGGGCCAGCCTGGAGCTGCTCACCTGCCGGAGAGCTGGGGCACCCCCCCCCCGGGCCCCCCGGCCTGCGTGTCCCCCGCCCCTTTTCCTAGGACGGTTCCTGACCCGGCTGAGGAGGGTGTTTCCTCCCTCGGTGTTTGGGTTCTCCGCGTCTCTTTCCGACTGTTACAGGGCAGGGTGAGGGGCACCCCAGGGACCCCCAAACCCGCCCACTCTAAATAAGTTCTGCGTCCGCCGCGTCAAGACAGAACGCGCTCTGGCGCGGAAGCCCTTCCGCGGGAAGGGCCTCGAGTCCGACTTGTGTGCGACACAGACGCGGGGGCGGGGAGGCCTGGAGTCTCAGATCCAGCCCCCGAAGCTGCCCACCCGCTCGTGGGCAGATGTCAGCGCGACAGGGTCGGCCCCCAGCAGGGCCGCTGAGGCCCGAGGGCTGCCCCACCTAAGGCACCGCCTGTGGGGCCCACGGGGGAGGGCAGCATGGCCAGACAATTCCAGAAGGAAAAGTGCCAAATCGAAATGAAGGTCAGCGCTGCCGTTGCTCCCCTCCCGCTGCGGCCAGGCCAGGGCCCAGACCCCGTGCTCCCCGCACGGCCTGCGGCCTCCCCGGCTCCCCGTCCTTCCTTCCCTCACGGGCTCCTCCCCAGCTTCTCCCCGCTCAGCCGCACCCTCCCTTGGGTGGGGCGGGGAACCTGGAGCCCCCCATTTCCTGGAACCCCCTGTTACACGACCTCAGCCCTCCCGCTGCAGGGCCCGAGGGGCTCTCGGGCGTCCCGGGCTCGGGCCGGACCCGCCAGCTGCAGCGGCGCTGGGCCCTGGAGCAGCCAGGGGCCCGGGGCGTGTCCGCCGAGCTAGACGTAGGCCCTCACTCGCCCCCTTTCCTGTTTCGGTGCCAGTTTCGATACAAGAAGCGGGTGTATAAACAGGCCACCCTGGACGAGAAGCAGCTGGCCAGGCTCCACACGAAGGTGAGAGGCACGGGTGTCCCCCGCCCTGCTCGGCCCGCTCTTCCCCCCACCCCCCGTGTCCCAGAGCTCTCGGCTGGGTGGGGGCTCCTTCCTGGCGAGCGGGTGGCCCCACGCGCCCCTGCCGGTGAGAGGGGGCCTGGAGTGCAGGGGTCGGCCCCTGGAGCGCCCAAGGCCCTCCCGCCATCCCCGAGGCCAAGGTGCAGCCGGGAGTCCTGGTCACTGGAGGAGCTGGGCGGCCTGGCACCGGTTTCTGCCCTCGCGCGGCCGGGGTTAACTGCAAAGGACCGAACTCCAGGGAGCTGCCCTGTCTGCTGCTCGGGGCCCAGAGACCTCAACCACACCCCGGCCTCGCTGGCCGGAGATGGGCCCTGGGGGCAGCGGGTCTCCAAAGAGACACAGGGGGCTGGTCCTCCGGGAAGGGGCGGCTCTCAGAAGGCCGCGCTGGGCCCCAGAGGCAGCGCCCCACTTGGCAAGCCCTGGTCATCGGGGGCCAGCGCCTGCAGGGAAGCCAGCGGCCACCTGCTGGCCCAAAGATGTCTCCTGTAAAGACTTCCTTGGGGTTTTGCTTTTCCCTTTAGACTAACTTGAAGAAATGCATGGACCACATCCAGCACCGGTCAGTGGAGAAGATCGTCAAGATGCTGGAGCGAGGCCTGGACCCGAATTTCCACGACCTGGACACTGGAGGTGGGTGCTGGTGGGGGGCCGGGGAACGTGGCCACAGCGTTCAGCCGAGACGGACTCCGTCACAGGTGACCCCAGTAGTCCCAAAGTGCAAGGTCTCCATGAGTGATTTGCTGCGTTCTTTCTGGCTCCGGGAGCACGGCCACCTCATTTCTACGGAGTTTTTTGAGTATTTCCAGATGCCCCCCCACGCCCCCAATAACCTACCAAACAGGCACGTCCCGGGAGGAGGGGCTGTGGTCAGGCCTGCCCAAGTTCACCCCTCGCTGTAGTCGTGGAAGGGCTGCCTGGGCCCGTGAGTGCGGCAGGCGTTGAGCCCGGCTTTGCTCTCACCGCGGAGCCTTAGCCCCAGCAGCCGCGGGCATGGTGGGCGCTCGGGCACGGTGTGGGCAGGGGAGGGAGAGGCAGGGAGGGGGAGACGGGCCCTGGGAGCCAGGCCCACAGGCAGGCGTCTTGCTCCCCCTGCTGGACTCAGGCCCTCTGCGGGCAGGTCCCTAATTATTTTCGGACCAACCAGTCTGGGGTCCTAAGCCCCCCCCACACCCTGTCATCTGTGTCCCTGCGCTGGGCTGTGTGTTTTCCGGCCTCTCTGGGCTGCACGGGGGTGCCGGGCCGGGAAGCGGGGCGCCCGCCCCTCTGGACTGCGTGCGTGGAGATAATTGAGTCCCGGAGGAGGGCTGTCGCTTACAGCAGAGCGGCCAGCGCTGCCACCAGAGCCTGCAGCCGTGCGGCAGAGATGCCGTCGGCCTGGGAGCTGCTCTGCGCGGAGCCCCGGCGAGCCCGGTGCTGGCTGGCATGGCAGACGCCCTTGCAGGGAACGGGGTCAGCTGGGCCGGCCCGAGCCCAGCTGGAAGGCAGGGCAGGCCCGGACGGGAGCCGGCTCCGCAAGGCAGGGCCCAGCGCTTGGTGCCTGAGCCGCCTGCCGCCGCATGGGGTGTCCACGCGCAGACTCAGCTCCAGCCGGTTTCCAGGGCGCCAGAGCCCTCGGCTCCCCAGCCCCCCGCTCCCCGTCCAGAGCCGCGTCCCCACACTCCCCACGGCCCAATTAGAGTGTTCCGCGGGCAGGCGGGCCCCGGAGGCCCAGCAGGCCTCCCCTGGGCTGGTACCAAGATGGGCCCTGGTGGATGGCCGTGCCCACTGCCCCTGCATCCCACTGTCTCCCGGAGCCCCGGCCACCCCCCCCAAATTCCCCTGAGAGGAGGGCGCCTGCGAGCTGGCAGCCGTGGGGGGCCCGTGGGGCCTCGACAGCGTCAGCGTGTGGGGTCTGGAGACACACGCCATCTCGCCCAGGGAGGCCCAGGGAGGTCAGGCCGTGGCTCATGCAGACACGCCTGTTTCCGGGAAAGCCCGCGGGGCCGGTTATCTCAGAGTCCCCCGCTCGCGCCCCCCACGCCCACAGGAGGAGTGAAGTGAGTCCTAAAGCAGCCCACGGCCATGAGTAAGGGGTGGGGTGGTCCCCCCGGGCGCAGCATGGCCACCCGGCCAGGAGCCAGCTGATGGGGAGGCGCCCGCCTGGGGCCGCGTGAACTGTGGGTGGCGCTGTGTGCACGTCTCTGGGCCCCTGACCTTTGCCCCTGGCCACAGCTGGGCAGCAGCACCCTGGCCTGGGCCTCGGGCTCCCCGCAAGTGGCTGCATGGGCACAGGGGCGCCGGGACTGTGGTCTTGGGGGTGGCTCCTGTCCTGTGCAGATGCTGGGAGGGGTGAATCCAGGTTGCTCCCCTCGGCTGCCTCGTGCTGGAGGGGGACTCTCTGCTTGGATATTGCGGGGGTCCGCTGGGGAGGGGGTGCTTAGGTTACCAGAGGGGGGCGGAATGCCCTCGTTTGCAGTTCACAGCGCTGGTCTCTGAGATGCAGCCAGCCAGGAAGGCGGCTGGGGGCAGGGCAGCACGCTAGCCCCACAATGCCAGGGGGGCAGGCTCAGACCCAGACGGAGCAGGCACCTTCCCGACCCAGACTGTGGGGCTGTGTCGTTCCATCGGTCCTGGGAGGATAACTCTGCTCAGACGGAGCAAGTCCGCGTGTGCTGCCCCGCCCCACCTGGCCGCCCACGTCCCTGCCTGCCACGTGCCACTTCCTGACCGCCGGTGGCAGCTCAGAGCCAGGCGCTGTCCTGTCTCTGTCCCTGCTGCCTGCACACCTCACCCACTGGACTGAAGACCAGCGGGCGTCTGCCTCTCGCGCCTTTAGCTGTGCCCCTGACCCACTGCTCCCCCATGGGGAACCCATGTGTACCCCTGACCCACTGCTCCCCGAGGGAGATGCACAGCAGGGCCCCTCTGCACTCACAGCCCGCAGCACCATCCCCCGACACCCTGCCTGTCCTGCCCGCTCCGCCATCACCCCGGGGGGCTCTGCCGTTGTCGCCTGTGGCCCGCGGGGGCCCTGGGCTCAGGGAGCTGCTGCAGCTCGCACTGGAGGTTGAACCTGGTGGGGGGTGCGCTGCCATGGGCGCCCTCCCCGGGGCTAGTTCTCAAGGGCAGTGTCGCGCCCCGCAGAGACACCCTTGACCTTGGCTGCCCAGCTGGACGACCCAGCGGAGGTGATGAAAGCGCTCAGGAACGGCGGGGCCCACCTGGACTTCCGCGCCAAGGACGGGATGACCGCCCTGCACAAGGCCGCCCGCGCCAGGAACCAGGTGGCCCTGAAGGTGCGGAGCCGTCCCCACCGTGGGGCCACATCCCCTGCCCTGGCACCTGCCCTCCGGGGATTTGGGATGTGGGTGGGCGGGCTGTGTCCAGGCGGCTGGGAGGGGCTGGGGTCCTGACCCTCTGCTCTGACCGGCTGGCTCTGGGCCGCGCTGTTGGGCCTGACGACATCTGACTTCCCTAGACCCTCTTGGAGCTGGGCGCGTCCCCTGACTACAAGGACAGCTACGGGCTCACCCCGCTGTACCACACGGCCATCGTCGGGGGCGACCCCTACTGCTGCGAGCTGCTTCTGCACGAGCACGCGGCCGTGTGCTGCAGGGACGAGAACGGCTGGCACGAGATCCACCAGGTAGGCGGCGCGCTGCCCCCGCCGGACCCGCGCCGCGCCAGTCCCCCTCCCCAGGCGGAGCCGGGGCCACTGGGCCAAGCTGCTGCGTCTCTGCAAGGCGATGGTCAGCTGGAGCTGGGGTGCAGGACCCCTTTGTAGGAGCGTGAGCGTGGGCACGCCCTTGATGGGGCATGGGGGCTGGGAGCCCTCGGTGGAGGGGGGTGGGGGGACTCCGTGGTGTGGAAGCTCTGATGGGGCATGGAACCAGCTGCTTTCTGGATGTGGGTGACCCGGCAGTGCAGGGGTCCCAGATCCGCCCGGCGCCGCTGGACTCGGGGTGATGGCACATGTGGGCGAGACCCCAAGCCCACCAAGGCCTCGGGCAGGTCTCCCAGGCCGGAAGCAGGGGTAGCGGGACAGACGAGCATGCAGAGCACACGGCCTCCCGTGGCCAGCACTGCTCGGGCAGAGGGCCCAGAGGGGCGTTTCGGGGTCAAGTGTGGGTGTGGCTGGGATTTTGGCAAAGGAGGCCCCATGGCCCCCACCCCTGGTGGTGCCTCCAGCGACTCGGGCCTCGGGAAGGGCGAGCAGCCAGTCTGCTGTCCCCAGGTAGCCTCTGCCCTGTCCAGCGCTGTCACCTGGCTGCTTTGGGACTAGGGGACACAGTGTCCAGATTGGTCTCTGGAAAATCACCCTGGGCCAGTCTGCGCGGGGCCTCGAGGCCACCATGGTTGAATCCTGCAGCGGCTGGAGACGCGTCTTTTCCCTGAGCTGCTGCGTTGTTGGGGCTCGGGGGCGCTCAGTCCTGAGCTAGGAGTCTGGGAGCCGGGGCTGAAGCGAGGTGCACATAGGGTTCTCTCCGTGGGGCTGTGCTGTCTCAGCTCAGGTCCCAGAGCACACCCCGTGGGCACGGAGCTGCGTGCAGGGGCCCGGCGGGGCCAGGGCTGCCGCAGCCTGCTGGCTCGACCCTCCCCTGCAGGACCCGCTGCAGAGCCCACTCGTGCCGCGTCCCTGTGGGTGTCCAGCAGGTGGCAGTAGTTGCCTAGAGAAGTGCTGGGGGCTGGGGGATGCTCAGTAGTTGGGGGGACTGGGGTGACCCCACATCTCGTGCAGGCAGTGGGTATGGGAGGAGCCCCCCTTATGTGTTTTCCAAAAAGGACTTTAGAAAAATGGTTAAGGGGATGCAGGGTCACTGTTAACCCTGATCCTCGTGAGCCCCCCAGTGGCCAGAGGCCACCTCCCCTTCCACAGGACAAGGCCGAGGCCAGCGCCTCCTGCCCAGGGCTCACAGCCCCGTGTGGTGATTCTCACTGGCTCCAGGAACATCCGGGTCTCTAGGCTGCCCACTCTGGGCCCCTGACCTTTGTCCCTGGCCCCTGGCCACAGCTGGGCAGCAGCGCCCTGGCCTGGACCTCGGGCTCCCCGCAACTGGCTGCATGGGCACAAGGGCGCTGGGACTGTGGTCTTGGGGGTGGCTCCTGTCCTGTGCAGATGCTGGGAGGGGTGAATCCAGATTGCTCCCCACAGCTGCCACGTGCTGGAGGGGGACTCGCTGCTTGGATATTGCGGGGGTCCGCTGGGGAGGGGGTGCTTAGGTTACCAGAGGGGGGCGGAGTGCCCTGGTTTGCATCTCATGGGGCTGGTCTCTGAGGTGGGGAGTGACCACCGGCATCTCCTGGCTTTCAAGCCCTGATGGAAGAACTGGGGGTCCCTTTGGATGCCCTGTTAAGCAGCCAGAAAGTCCTCAACCACTGCCAGCCCCGGCTCCCCAACCCTGTGCAGACATTGGCAGCCCCAAGGCTCAGGGCGGGGCTGGGGCGGCGCTGCTGGGGCGGGGCGGCTGGGCTGGGGGCTGCTCTGACTCTGGGGACCCTGCTCCCAGGCCTGCAGGTACGGCCACGTGCAGCACCTGGAGCACCTGCTGTTCTACGGGGCCGACATGGGCGCCCAGAACGCCTCGGGGAACACGGCCCTGCACATCTGCGCGCTCTACAACCAGGTCAGTGCGCCCGGGGTGGGGCCCCAGCCTGGCCTGGGCGCTGCGTCACAGCCTGCAGCCGGGGTCCAGGGTGTCGGCTTCCTGTCCCGCCCCGGCCGAGCCAGGGCCGCGTGCCCACCTGCGGGGTGGGGCCACGTGCGGGTGGGGCCCTGGTGTGCCCATGGGCCGGTGCCGCTGTGGCTCCTCCAGCCTCGGGGCCCCATCTTCAGCTGGGGTCAGGTTTCACCTTCAGAATTTCGGGGACACTCTCGCCACAGGAGGCGTCACCCCACCTGCTTCTTGGGGGACAACTGTCATCCAGCTGTAGAGAGGAGACTGAGTGGCGGGGGGGGGGGGCGGTTCGCGCAGCCCCGGGCCGCTCGCCGCTGCTCCTCCGGCTCTCCCGCAGCCCCTGCTCCGGGGGCCGTGCCCAGTCCTCCAGCGGGAGTGGGCCGCAGCCGAACGGGGGCTCTCTCCTGATGAAAGCCAGGCAGTGGGGTGTGGCACCGCTGGATGGGACCTCCAGATTGAGCGGGGTGCTGGGTGTGCCTCGTGCGCAGGGGAGAACCCCCGAGAGGCCCGGTGCGGCTGGGACAGCTGCTCCCGCACGTGCTCCGTGACTCCGGCCTGGGAGGGGGAGGCGGCCTTAAGTTCCCCCCGTAGGTTTCACGTGTGTTTTATCGTGAAAAGGGGAAAAAGCAACAGAAAAAACATGTTTTCTGCCACTTGAAGTAACGGTGGGCAAGATGGTCTTTGAAAGCGTAGCTGGTTTGTCTTGAAACGGGCGTGTTGGGGTGGTCCGACCCTGGGCCGTGGGGGGCCGGGTCTGGCTGGCGTCTCGGCGGGGCTGGGGGCAGGGCTGGGGGGTGCTCAGGAGAGCCCCCCAGGCCTCTGTGTCTCAGGTGAGGAGAGGCCAGCAGCCTGGGGTCACGGGGGTCGGCCGCTCAGCTGCGTCTCGAAGGCGTGAGCGGCCACAGAGTGAGCCAGGACCAGGGCCCCGGAGAAGGGGCTGCCTCCGCCTCGTCTCCACGCGGCCTCCGGGCAGACGCCCCTCCCGCCCGGGCTCCGTGGGGGCGAGCGCTGTCCCCTCGGGCCTGGGCTCAGCAGGGGCAGCTGCAGCCTCGCACTCCCTCTGGGGGCCATGGCGGGGTGTCGCGGGCGGGGGCTCGGTGGCCCTGGCCCGAGTCCAGCTGGGAAGTCAGCGGGGATTCTGGCCTCGGGCCGCAGCTTGCGCCTCCAGGGATGCCGTGTAGTCTGCAGCCTCCGGCCTCGGCGCCCCCTAATGTGGGGGTGTCCCACTGATGTAGGAAGAGAAGCCCATCCAGACCCTGTCAGTGTGATTCAGGGGCAGAGCTCCCTGCACATGCGCCCCAGGCTCCACTGAGGCCCCAGCCTTGGTCTCCATCGCCCCCCCCCCGCTCCCCGTCCTCCCCGACCCCCTCCCGTCCTCTTCTGCGCACGTGATCACACGGCTGCGGCAGGCGGTGCCCAGTGCCCGCGGAGGGCCCCCTTGGCCACTTTAAACAGAGGGGGTGGCAGCAGGCCAGGCGGGGGGCTGGTGAATGATGTTGAGGACTCCACGGTGGTGGCTCTGACCCAGGGCAGGCGCGGGAAGGAGGGACGAGGTGGCCCCGGGGAAGTGGCCACACCCCACGAGACCTGGCGGTCTGGCTCCGCTGGTGTAAACCATGACCTGCTCTGCCCCCGGGAGAGGCCTGAATGCCTCCGTCTGCGCTGCGGGGACCATCACACCCAACTCGCGGGGCTGCTCGGAGGCTTAACGTAGAAAGCAAGCGCGGGGTGTCTGGCGCGCCGCGGATGCCCGATAAATGGTGACAGCAGAGGCGGTGGTGATGGTGGTGCAGGGGTGCTGGCCATGGCACTGCGGCTCACATGCCTTCCAGGCCCCCCCTTATCAGCTCTAAAGGCCCCCGGGCTTCTGACGTGTGTGCCCTGTCGGCGGCGGGCGGTCCCCGTCCGCACACGCGTGACGAAGCGCGGTGCTGGGGACAGTCTCTTCTCTGGTGAGCTCCTTCAATGAGGACGTGAGCGTGAGCGGCGCCTCCTCTGCAGGCTGATGCCGCCTGGAATTTTGTTTTCCTGCCCCAATGAAGAAGGCAGGGAGGGAGGTTTAAATACCAAAGGACAGCGAAGGTCTTCCGGATGGGCAGAGCCTCAGAAATGCAAAGCGCATCCCTGGTGCTGCTCACCCGCTGTTGCAGCAGTGGAGGCGCCTCCTGCCTCGGCCCCCGCACCCGCTCTGGGGCTCGGGCCCACTTCCCTGCAGCGCTCACGGGCGTGGAGGCCCCCCTTGTCCCGCGGAGCCCCGGCCAGCCGGCCTCGCTGGGCCCCGGCACACGGTGCAGATGGTCCTGGGGCTGCCCTGTGCCCCCACCAGCACCCCGGGGTGACCCGGAGGCTCTTCTGCTCACGTCAGCTGCTCGTTCTCCTCAGCCCGGCCCTTCTGGACGCAAGAGTGTTCAGCGGTCAGCGGCGCCTCCACGGCCACAGGCCGCTCCGCCTTCATCTCAGGCTGGGGCCCCCTCCTCAGAGGGCTCGAGGGTGCGGGAGCCCCGGCCCACACGGCGGGGCGCTGGAGCAGGGGGTTTCTCTCCCCTTAGGACACAGCTGCGGCGTCTGCCCTCGGAAAACACGGACACGCCTCTCGGGAAGGAAAGGCCCCTCTGTCTGCTCCCGAATCCCTTTCACGAGGGAATCCCCGGCGCCCCTGCGCAGGCCTGGGCATCCCTGGGGTGCTGCGGGCGGCGGCTGCAGTGGACGGGCATGCCGGCCCACCCCTCAGGCTGCCCTGCTCTCTGCGCCCGCCCGGCCGCGCCCCGCCTCTGTCCGGGCGGTCTCGGGGTCTCCGTCCTGCCTGTGGGACTCCCCGGCCAGCACCTGGCTCCCCCGTCGGGTCTGAGGCGGGGTGCTCGCCAGTCTGGCCGCGGGCCCCTGGTGGCTCCCACTCTCGAGCCGGGCGTGGCGTCTCACGGGTGTCCCCCTCGGCCCTGCAGGACAGCTGCGCCAGGGTGCTGCTGTTTCGAGGCGGGAACAAGGAGCTGAAAAACTACAACAGCCAGACCCCGTTCCAGGTGAGAGCGGCTCGTGGGGGTGGAGGTGGTTTGGGGGTTCGCGTGGCGGGAGTGCCCCCGGGGGCAGCGGTGTCCCAGGGCTGCGGACGCTGCGTGGGGCCGCCTCCCCCTCTCCAGGGGCTGCCTGCGGGGGGTGGCCCGTCGGGGCGTCCTTCCTGGGCCAGACGGGGTGGGTCACGCGGTGCGGCCCCTGGGCTGGCGTCGCGGCGGGAAGGCCGCGGGGCAGGGTCTGTCGTCCTGTGCAGGTGGGTGAAGGAGAGTCCGGAGCCCGCGTGGCCTCTGCAGGCGGGCAGCCTCCCGGCCCCCCGCGTGTCTTCGCTCCCGGGCTCCCGGCGTGCTCTCGCGGCCTGTACGTCTCTGTCCTTTCACTCTCTCCCGTTCTGTTCTTGTCGCTCCGCGGGCGGCCCCGTGACGCCGCCCTTCTGAGCCCGGCCTCAGCCCAGGCGCGCCCACCTACGCGCGCCCACCCCCCACTCCCGGTGCCGCCAGCAGGTGCGCGGTCAGGACCGCAGATCCGTCGTCCGCCCTAACGGCGGGAGGGGGGAAAGCCCGGTAACTGTTTACCCGGCGGCGAAGAAGGACTCACTTGATGCTCAGCGCGTGGGGTGCCGTCGCCCCTCTGTGGGGGTCGAGCCTGCGGGCGGGAGGCTGCTGGACCCCCCGGTGCTGGCTGGGTGAGGGCGCCCCGTCTGGGCTGCTGCCTGCTCAGGGGCGTGGCCGGGAGCAGGGTCGGGCTGAGGGGGGCACAGGCTGCCCCGAGACGCCGCATCTCGGCGGGGTCGGCGCCTGGGCACAGCCCAGCACCCTGACTGCGCGGCCCTGCTCCCCAATCTCCCCTCTCGCCCCGGAGGCCCCGCGTCCGCGGCCCTGAGTGTGCTCCCCGGAGGGGCCCTCCCGCCTGGACGCCCTGCCCAGCGCCTTCCCTCTGCCCCGCTGTGGTCTTGGGGCCGCCCGCGGCTGTCAACGGGGTGAAGCCATCACCCCCTTTGGGAATGGCTTGAGCCACAGGCACGTTCTGATTCTGGGAAAGGCCGGGTTGTGTGGGACTGACCCCCTTCCGTGGGGATCGCCAGGGGGGAAGAGGAAGGTGAGGAGGAAGGAGCTGCTTCCAGGGGTGGGGGTGGGGCTGCCTCCCTGCCCCGCCCGGCCGAGGGGCCTCCAGGCGCTGCTGGGCTGTGCCCGCCCCCAGTCCTGCCCCAGCAGCACGGCCTGTCCTGAGCAGGTGCCCCCCGCCGCCCGCCGTGAGGACCCACGCGACGGCCCATCACCTCCATCACAGGTGGCGGCCGGCAGGGCACGGGGTCGGGGGCCGGGGCAGAGGCCCCGACCCAGCAGTGCCTTCCTGGGCAGGTGTGGGTAGGGGGTCAGGCCCCCTGGGGAGGCCGCGCCAGCAGGCCCCGGGGGCACTGAGGTGGGCGGGAGACCTGAGCACAGGAGGCCCTGGGGTGCAGGTGCCTGGGACAGATGCCCCGAGAGAAGCTTCCGGCAGAACCCCTGCCCGGGAGGGCACCCGCTGACGTCACGGGACACGGGTGGTGGAGCCCGCCCTGGCCCAGACGCAGGCCCTTGGGGGGCCCCGAGTCGTCGGGCGCTGGTCGCTCTGACAACAGGCAGAGCCCGGGCTGGGGCGGGACACAGGCTGAGGCCCGTCCCCGGCTCTGATTCCAAAGCCGTGGGGACGCGTCCGAAGGGGGCGTTCCAGCTTGTGCTCGCCCAGGACCCCTCTTGGGGGGCAGGGCACGTGCGGGGCAGGGAGGTGGGACGGGGCAGGCGGCCCTCCTGCGCGCCCCACTGCCCGCTCCCTCCTGTTGTCTTCTTTCTCCCTAACTTCACAAAGAACTGAAGTCACCCTCCCCAGGCGCATCCCCCAAAGTGTCCGTCCTCCGCTTTTCTTTTCCCTGCTAGAGGTATGAAAATGCGAATTTACGTTATTTATTCGTGTTGAATTTAATTCACGCTGCAGCTCCCCTGGGCTCCGGGCGTGGCCCCGAGGGGTCCGAGCCGCGGTGATGGGGCCTGCGCTTCCGGGCGGGGGAGAAGGAAGACGCCCTCCTAGAGGACGAGCTCCCCGCAGTCCGGGGTTTGCCGGGGGCGTCCCCTGAGCTGTCTGAACCCCAAGAGGAGGCAGGGAGCACAGGGGCGGAGGTTTTGCTTCCTTTTCTCGCTGGAGAAGTGGGGGGGCCCTGAGCGAGCCAGGGGGTGGGGGTTCAGCCTCCTCCGTCCCGGAGGCGGGGACAGGTCGGTCGGGCAGCAGCTGAAGCCCACCCTGGGAGGCCGGTTTCCCTGAGTGACCCCGGCTTCCGTGAGACAGCTTGGGTTCACCCAGCCTGGGCGTCGTCCCCCGTGTGATGGGTCCGCGGCGCAGCGAGACCCCGGTTTCCTGTGGGAGCTGCTGCCGCGGCATCCACCTCCCCACGTGGACGTGGCTGCGTGGCGACCCCCGCACGGGCGGCGTCTCAGGTCGCGTCACTGTCGGCCGCCCCTCAAGGGCCGAGAACGCAGGGCACCCCGCGGCATGACGCCCCCAGCGGGAAGGAGCCCCCACCACCCAGGCCCGCGCTGGGCCCCCACCAGGGCGGCGAGGGCGTGGCCAGCCCCGGGCGCCTGGACCAGAGGGTGGGAGGCCGTGTGGGCTGGGGCCCTTCGGCTGGAGGGTGTTCTGGTGTGTCTGGGTGCCGCTGTGTTGTTCTGCCTGCAGTGAGCACAGGAGGTGGGAAGAGGCCCTTGGAAGAACGGGGTGCTGTTCTTGGAGGAACGGGGTGCCCGCGGGCGGGGGGCGCCGGCCCAGCAGGCTTCCCGGGGTGGCCTCGCCTGCGGGGAGGGCGGTTCTCAATCCAGAGGGGGAGCTGATTGCTGCAGCAAAGCACCCCACAAGCACTCGGGAGGACTCTCCCCGCTGCTCCCCCTCCTGGGGTGCACCTGGGGCGGTGCGGATCGTCGGCATCCCCCAAGTCACGTGTGGGTGTCCCCGCCCCTGGCCCCAGGTGTGGCTGTGCTCAGGGAGGGTCTTCACCTGCGGGGCATCTGGGCTTCCGTAGACCTGAAGGACGAGCGTCTTGTGCTGGCAACAAGCTACGCGTGCGCGTGCTTTGCCGTTGGTGACGTAAGAACGCGCCAGGCTGCGGTAAGCGCAGCTTCGGCCCTGACCCCCCGCCTCGCTCTGCCCCTGCAGGTGGCCATCATCGCGGGCAACTTCGAGCTGGCCGAGTACATCAAGAACCACAAGAAGACGGACGTCGGTGAGTGGCCCCGCGTGCTCACGGCTCCCGCCCCGGCCCGGCAGACGCGCCGGAAGCGCCTGCCCTGCGCCCGTCCCCGACTCCTGGCTGGGACTCAGGAAAACCTTAGAGGCAGGAGAGGAAGTGGGGTGCAGGGCACGCTGGCGGGAGGGCGTCCGTCCACCGGGGCCGCAGGGGAGTTTGCAGCTGGCCTGGGGCGGGTTTTCTGGAAGATTCTGCAACATCGCGTGTCCACTGAGACAGAGATGGCGTCTAAACGGAGGGCAAGGAGAGCTGCGGCCTGCCACCTCCCTCCCGCGGCCGTCCCTGGACCCAGGGCCGGTGCTGACGGACACCCCCCTTTCTAGTCCCGCTTGTGCCAAGCAGAAGGACTGTTTCTGGGGCGCCTCCTCTCCCCGCTCACCCTGCCGGCATCCGGGCCGCGCCTAGCGTCTTGGAGGATCCTGCCGGCCTGTGTCCTCCGGCCCCGGGCTTGCACAGGACCCGCAGCGGGGAGCAGTCCCTGGGCACCGGCAGCGGTGAGCTTTCAGAGGGCGCCCTCCCTCCCGCGAGGGGCGCAGCCCTGGCCTGGGGACGCGCCGCGGCGTCTGTGTCTTGCTGCCTGGCCCCTCCCGCGTCCGTCCGGCGTGGCGCGGCCCGCGTGCGTGTGCTGAGTCTCTGCGTGTGGCATGTGCCTGGCGCCGCCCGCGCGGAGACCGAGGCTTGGCTTGCCGCCCCGCCCGCCCGCCCCGCTGCGCCCCGGCCTCCCAGGCTGCGCCGTGCTGAAGCAGGGCCTCCCGCGCGGGGCAAATCACTTAATTGCTCTGAGAGCCGCGCGGCGGCCACATCAGCGCCCCGCGCGCACGTTATGGAGACGGATGAGCTGATGTCTGCAGAGCAATTCAGAAAATGAACTGAGCTCCCCGTGCCAGAGACGCCTCCCTCCTCGTTCAGAGCAGCACAGTGGGTTGGCTGGAGGCCGAGACGCCCGGTACCGCTTGCTGGGAGGGGAAGGTGGTGCTGTGAGCAGGCTGGACAGCGGGGACCCCAGCCCGCACCCCGGGACTGAAAGGGCCCTGTGAGCCCCTTGGCTCCCCAAAGTGTGTCTGGGAGGGTAGCCAGCTCCGGGCGGCCCTCAGGACTGTTGCTAAGCACCGAGCTGGTCTGGGGGACCGTGTGTGTGTGTTGGGGGATGGGGGCGTCCGGTGGCCCAGGGGGAGGCGCCCGGCGGCCTTGATGCCCCTGCTCTGGGGAACTGAGACACTGGGGGCTCTGCTCCCCGCCCCACGCCCTGCCTGCAGCCTCACCCCCCCTTCTAGCCCCTTAAGAGTGGCGGAATCAGCCACTCAGCTGCCCGAGGCAGACCGCGAGACCCCCGGGCGCGGGGCTGGCCTGAACGCCCGGGGCCGGGTGCTCGTCGCCATTTTGAGGGGTGGTTAGCTCCGCGCTCGCCGCTCAGTCCTCTTCGGAAACACGCGTTTTTCTGGTGTGAGGGGAACGCCCGCTGCAGGGCCAGCGCGCTCATGGCGCTAGCTCGTTCTCATCGGTGCCTCTGACCCACGAAGGGCGCCTCCAGCTGAGAGCGGGGCAGCCCCAGACCCTGCCCTGGCCCTGTTTCAGGTGCTGAGTCCCCCGTGGGGTTTCTGTTCCATCACCGGGCCGGTGTGGGGTGGCCTTTGTCATCAGCCCTCGCAGGGCCGCTGCTCGGGGCCTCCCGCCCGGGCCCCGGGCACAGGCCTGCCCAGAAGGCCGCAGAGGGGATGCAGGAGCCCCGAGGCCCCCACCGAGAACCAGCCCCTGGCACCATCCAGGTCCACCCCCCCAGGGGCGGCCGGGAGGCTGTGGCGAGAGGGCATGGACACCCCGTGTGCCCCTTGTGGGGCCCTGAATCCCTCATGAGTCCTGAAGTGGCAGCGTGGGCTGAGCCTCCAGGGTGGACCCCCGCTGCCCGCCCGTGACGGGTCCGAGACTGCCTTCCCCCGCTTGGCTTTCCTCGCCAGGGGAGGTCTCTCGGACTCCTGCTGGCCAGGGCCGTCGCCCACTGCCCAGCCCCCGGGAAGGGTGGGGGTGCCTGCAGGCCCACCCGCACCCCGGAGCAGGAGTGGGGGGGGTCAGAGAGAGGGGGAGAGGGTGCACTGTCAGCGGTGTAGGATCACTTCCACGAGGACGGAGTGCGGGGAGCTGCCCGAGACCCCCAAGTCCCTCAGCCCAGGCCTCTGGTCCAACAGCCCTGGTTCCTTCCATCTGGGGGACCCTCGCCCCCTGAGGAAAGCTGCCTGCTTCTCGCTGCCTGAAGGGGCAGGAGGGGGCACCTTGGCTGCTCATGACTGTCCTTGGGGGCCTCGGGGCACGCTCCCACCCGACTCCCCTTGGTGACGCGTCATGGAGGGGGGCCTGTGCTAATTTGGGGGCTCAGAACATCCACCAATCCCTGACGTCTGGGGAGGTGGTGACCACAGAAATAATGTCCTCCTGTCCCCCATCCCCAGACTTAGGACCCTCACCCTTCCAAACCAGGGCAAACTGAGGGCAACCTGCCTCGTGGGCGCCGCCCACCCCTTCCCTCCCCTGCGTGTGGCCCCGCACCGCTGCCCACCAGCGTGCTCTGCTGGGACCAGAGCGAGACCCTGCCCCGGCCCCAGCGCCAGGCCTGGGTGCACCGGGGTGACCTGAGAGCTGCTGTGGAATGGGGCGCCCCAGAGCTGCCCCCCAGGGAACCTTGCCGCTAGTTCCAGGGTGGCCTCTGCCGTCCCCTGTCCTGCCAGTGGTCCTGATACTGGACGCCCGAGCTCAGCCCCACTCTGCTCCCCGCGCCACCGGCGGCTGCCCGCTGCCCTCTCGCAGCCGAGGCCACGAGTGAGGTCAGGGTGCGCAGGGCGGACCCCCGCCCCACGTCTGCGTCTCAGCCATCACCCGTCTTTGGATTTGAGGTGCTCCCCGAATTCGGGCTAATCTGGTCTTGAGATCCTGAGTCAGTCACCTGGGCAGAGACTCTGCTTCCAAGGAGGCCACGGTGCCGGCCCTGCACTGGACTGGCCTCCCCTCCGACATGGCGGCCCCCGGGCTCGGGCCGTGACGTCTGCGCGTCCCCTGAGCCTGGCCGCGTGGCTCTGCGGGCGTCAGCCGTGCCAAGGGTGAGGCCGGGGCGGGCGCGGTGCTGGGCGTGCCCGGCCCAGGTCTCTGCAACCAGGAACAAAGGGGCGGCCGGTGAGGCCCGGGCCCCTCCGAGGCTCTCCCCGTGAGGCGACGGAGCGAGACCCTTTTCTTTCTCGGTTGCTTTTCAGCTCTTTACTGCTGCTCTGTGGCATATAAGGTGAAAAAATGGCTTTTCCGGAGCGTTACGGGTCCGGGTTTCAGCAGGAGGGAGCGGCTGCGAGCCCGCCGTCCTGTGCGCCGCCTGCAAGGAGATCAAGAGCACGTGGGACGAAAGCAGTTGGGGGTAGAAAGAGCAGATTTGGGGAGAGGATGTGCGTCTCGCCCAGCCCCGCCCTCGCTGTCGCTGGCGCAGGGCTACGCCTGGGGTGTGCAGACACAGACCCAGGCCTTGGGGCTCAGGGCTCGGGGCCCAGGGCGTGTCTCCCCCAGGTTCTACTCACACCGAGGCCTGTGCATGACCTGCGCCCCTCCCCCTCCAACCCCTCCCCCTGCCCTGGGCTCCCCCCCTCCCCCCTGGGCCCCTCCAACTTCACACGCCCACGAGCACATCAATCACCCGCTCTGCGGTCATCTCCTGTCCCTCGATTACTCACCAGACCCTCTGCCAGGCCTGGTCGGTCCTTGCCAGGCTGCAGCGTGGCTCCTGGGATGCCCGAGCTGGGGCTCAGCCAGGTGTCTCCTGTGCGGGGGTGGGTGGGCCTCGGGCACCTGGGCTCCCGCGGGCGGCGTGGGGGCCCACCCGGGGCCTCTGGGAGGGGGTCTTGGGCAGCCCTGCTGCTGAAACCGAGCCCCCCCGGGAGGGCGGCTTAGGGACCACAGACTGTCCCACTGCGGAGCCGGCGCGGCTGGTCTGGGGACACCCCGTGTCCTCCTGGGGGAGGAGATGGCGCTGGCTGTCCCCGCGCAAGGGGCAACGCTCCCGGCCCCGTGGCCTCATCACCTCCCAGAGAACCCCTCCTGACACCCTTGCCCTGGGGTTGGGGTTTCAGTGTCAGGATTTGGGGGCGCATGTTCAGCCCACGGAAGGTCGGGGCCCTCCCCAGGCCCGCAGTGGCCAGACCGGGGACTCTCCCGGGGTCCTCCTGCGACGTGCCCGAACCTCCGTCTCCCGGGGCCGCCGCCAGCTCTGGTGCCGTGAGGACAGCGAGCGGGTTTGTCCTCCCGTTGTCCCCACACCCCCAACTTCCGCAGCTCCTGCTCCCCTTCTCCGCACAACCCCCTTCTGCTTCCAAATGTGCAAATTGCGAGAGTCCCAGAGGGTTGCCACAGCAACAGAGCTGGCTGGCACCCGGCCGCAGCCGCAGCCGCTCCCCATCTTCGGGGGGACAGGAGTGGGAGGTGGGGTGGACGCGGCGGGAGCTGGTCCTTGGCGTGGTGGCTGGGTCACCGGTAGCCGGGCCAGACGGGTGCTCAGCCGCCTCCCGGGGCCCCGTGTTCCTGGGCTGCCTCGGTGCTGCAGGTGTGACCGGAGGGCCCACGAGTGTTCCTGTCCCCCCGGCCCGGGTCCTCCTGGCCCCCGGTGGACGGCGGACGCGTCTCCCGTGTGCTCACACATTCCTCTGTGTGTCTGGGTCCTGGTCCCTCTGCTCACGGGACGTGGGCCTGGGGCCAGGGCCTCGGTGCCCTCCTCCCTACCTGAACCACCTCTGTGAAGGCCCCAGACACAGCCACCTCCTGAGTGCGGGCCCCCACCTGTGAGCTTGGGGGGCACAGTCTGAAGCGGGCTTCCAGGAGGGCAGCATGGCCTGCTTGCACCTGCTACCTCGAGGCTGTGCCCCCCGACCCAAGCGAGACCGTCCAGCGAGTCGGCAGTGCCCAGGCCGGCCAGCTGGCTTCACACAGCACCGAGGGTTGCCGGGCTCTCG